GGGCAGTAGTCTTAATGGAGAGGGATGGTGTGAGGAGTATCCCCAAATCTCTTTTTTTGTTTTCTTTAGGGCAGAAATTGAGGGCCCATTAAGACATCCAATTGCAACCTCTTATTTTATTCGGGACAATGATAGACAGCTTTCTCCCTAATCTGTTTATTGTTGTTGTTGTTAGCTGTTATTTAGTTGGCCCCCGACTCATGGCAACCCCATGCACAATGGGATCGGACCGTTGTGATCCATAGGGTTTTCATTAGCTGATTTTTTGGAAGCAGATCATCAGCCTTTTGCTTTAGTCTGGAAGCTCTACTGAAACTTGTTCAGCATCATAGCAACATGCAAGTCCCCACTGACAGACGGGTGGTGGCTGTGCAAGAGGTGTATTGGCAGACAATCGGACGTGGATCTACCTGCATGGAAAGCAAGAATTCTACTACTGAACCACCATTGCCCCCTCACTCAGTTTATAGATACACACACATTTATTGAAAGAATGAGCAAGCAAGCATAATTTCTCAAACTAAAGGACTTCTGACAAAGAACCTTTAGACATAGTATAATTATTATTAAAAGAAACTTTCAACAAAGATCGTTTAGAACTGCATAATCCTCCTTCAATACCTGTTTGCAGCCTGTCTTCTAGACAGGGAATATAGGCTGTGATTGTTCCTGCTTCTTAAGCTCATTCACTCCCAGCAGAGGGGAAAATCATTGTTGGGCAGCATTAACAGAGTCTGGGACTCATTCAGGGGAACTTCTTGAGGACCTCTGCCAACACCATATCACTCGTTGCCTGGTGACAACCACTAGAATTGCAGCTGTGGGGCCAGGAGGAAATAAACAGCTCTCTCACAGGGCTGGCATTGCAAAACTCATCCTATTAGGTGACAACAAATTTTATTCGAAGTGAGTGGGATAGGCTTAAATTTCAGGAGAATAAAATTTAGAAAAAAGTTGTATTTTAGAAGACTACTTAAAAGGGCAGAGAACTTTCTTTGGATAAAATATCTTGCTTTATTTTTCCGGAGGAAATACTAAATATACCACTTCCTTTATATTTTTAACATTGTTGTTGTGTCCCGTTGAGTTGATTCCAACTCATAGCAACCCTATATGACAGAGTACAACTGCCCCGTACAGTTTCCTAGGCTGTAATCTTTACAAGAGCAGATTGCCAGGTCTTTTCTCCCGAGGAATGGCTAGTGGGTTCCAACCGCTGACCTTTTGGTTAGCCGCTGAGCTCTTAACCATTGCGCCACCAACCCTGAGCCGTTGAGTTGATTCCAACTCATAGCGACCCTACAGGACAGAGTAGAACTGCCCCGTAGGGTTTCCAAGGAGTGGCTGGTGGATTTGAACTGCCAACTGTTTGGTTAGCAGCTGAATGCTTAACCACTGCACCACCAAGGCTCCATTATGCCACCAGGGCTCCTTAACATTAAGCATTGAAAATAAAGGGAGAAACCAGGAAAATAGATTTTTTAAGGAAGTTAGTGGGATCTTCCCCCCTGAACTTCCACTTCTGATTCACATTCCCTTGGAAATAAGGTTGGAATGTAGGTGGTGTAGTGGTTAAGAACTACGGCTGCTAACCAAAGGGCTGGCAGTTCGAATCCACCAGGCACTCCTTGGAAACTCTATGGGGCAGTTCTACCCTGTCCTATAGGGTCGCTATGAGTTGGAATTGACTCGACAGCAACGGGTTAACTGGTAGTGGTGTCCAGAGGTACAAAATGGAAAAGATAAACTGATGGTTTCCTTCTAGTTGTGTTTCTATGGAGAATCTCCTAAGAACCAACACAACAGTGCTCTTTATCCCCACTTCTAGAAGCTGTCAGTGTTTGCTGGGTAACAGGGACCTGGGTTTGAATCCCAGTTCTGTTATTTCTGGGCTTGTGGCCATAACCATTCTGAGTCTCAGTTTTCTTACCTTTCAAATGGGCGTAATAACATTTGCCTCTAGGGTTATTCTGAAGATTGAATTAGGTAATGTATACAAAACAACCTACTGAGTGAGCAGCTAACTGTTAGGTTCCTTCCCCTTCTAGAACAAAGGTGTGAAGTGGGAGGAGGTTCAATGACTCCTCTCCAACTTAAATTGTTCCATCACAGTCTTGCCTCTCCTCTGGGCTGGTAGGACTGACCAGGCTGGATACCGCTGTGCCAGCTAGTATCTGCCCCGAGGAAGGATGGGTGGAAGGAGGGTGAGGCCTAGGCCAGGATGCCCTTTACTAGCAATTACGATGCTCAGTGCCAGAAAGAAGGAATCAGATTGTGTCCAAGAGAATTCCGTGGTCAAAGCTACAGGTATAGTTCCAGGCTGGGTCATGAGAATAAGGGGGCTTGAGGAGCCAAGTTCTGTGGCCAAAAGGGAGTCTGTGGAGCAAGAAAACAAAACAGTGGCTGGAAAAGCCACCAGAGCCTGGTCTGTGTGAAAATTTCAATCCTGTAGAAAGTCAGAGCCTCTTAGAAGGGTTTGGACAAAATGAATGGTCACAGCTGCATGATCTGGTTATTGGAGTCCTGAGGATCTCCGATAATATGTTCTAGCTTAGCCACTGTATGAGACATTCTGGCTCTGTTTTTCTCTATTTTATCTTTTAAGGATAGTTAAGGTCAATGCAACTTGGCCATTCTGAGCAGGGCAAGGCCAAATAACAAGTACATTCTGCTAAGCTAGACTGGGGCAACTGGAGACATCACAGGGAGTCATGAAAATAAGTCAGAAAAAAGAAAAATAGCCACAGATTGCTAAGCAGAGACAGCAGCTGAAACTCCCTATTAGATTTCCAGAAAAAGCTGTGGGCAATATGGGACATGGGCCACAACCCAAAGAAGCAGAGCTACAGAGAGAACATCTCTGCAAACAGAAGCCACAGCTGATATGCAGAGGAAGGACAACCCAGTGTGGGGGAAGAGGCAGCCTAGTGTAGCAGTCAAGGGCATGGGACTGGGGATGAAACAGACCCAGATTGCTGTACCACGAACTAGAGCAAGTTACTTAACCTCTTTTAGTTTTCTCACCTTTAAAAGACAAGTAACATGTACACGAATGAAAAATTCTCTGGAAGGACTGCTAATGTACAACCATACACCTCAGATTCGGTTTCTTGGTTTGGAGGATTAGGGTCATGGTTTCATGGAACATCTCAGGTAACTGGCCTAATATCCAAGGCACAACTGACCTCAATTCATCTGGAGCAGCAGAGGGAGAGTCAGGAATAGGAGGAAATAGAATGTGTGCCTAATTGCCTCCATGAACAAATGTGTCCTTTGCCTTGAGACCAGAACTGGATGGTGCCTGGCTACCATTATGGAACATTTTGATCAGAGATTCTATAGAAGAATCCTGATCAAAAGGGGTAAAAATGTAGAACAGATTTCAAATTCCCACAGAATCCAGACTTTCTGGAGCCACTGGGGCTGGATGAATCCCCATAACTGTTGCCCTGAGATAATCTTTAATCCTTAAATCAACCCTGAAGTCTTCTTTAAACCAAACAGTAAATTAGCTTATTTGTAGTAAAGAATGCTTGCCTTGAACAGTGTGCTCTTTTGAAGAACTGTCTATATGGGATCAAACTGACAACAGCAACTCAAAAAGTCAGATAGGAAGCTTAGGGGTTTATGTCAATGGGGAATGAACAATTCAGAAAAGGAGGATGAGAATGATTGCACAACTTGAAGAAGGTAATCAATGTCACTGAATTGTACATTTAGAAATTATTGAATTGGGTATGTTTTGCTGTGTATACTTTCAATAACAATAAAAAAAATTCTCTGGAAGGATACAATGGAAACTGATGTCAGTGGTTACACTTTAAGACTGGGCAGATAGGGAACAGACAAGAGACACACTTTTCACTTTATACCTTTCTATATACATTTGATTTTTGAACCATGTGGATGTGTGTCCTATTAAAAAGAATAAATGAATTTTTTTTTTAAAAAAGGCAAGGGCAATAGTTTATACCTTACAAGATTACATAGGTCTGACAGATGGTAATCACTCATATACGTTAGCTATTATTATTATTAATACCGGGGAACTGGCTGGGTCATCTGTCAATGTTTTTAGCCCTTACATACCCAGCAGTCTCTTTATCACATATCCAGATTGATACCCTACAAGCAGCAGGCTTATATTACCTACATAATCAATGGTATAAATTCAGCTGCTTCATAGCAGTCTTGTAAATGGGTACAATGAATACATGAATACCACTTGCAAATTAGATTGTAAAATATACCAGTTTTCCTTTTAACAGATTTTGGAGAATTAAATTACTGTCAATGGCACTTGGTACAATTTTTTCTCTATTTTTTATTTTGAAAAAATTTCAAACCTACAAAGAAGTTTCAAGAATAGTGTAATGAACACCTGTATACCCTTCACTTGTATTCACCAACTGATAACACTTTGCCAGTTATGTTCTCTCTCTTTCATGTATATACACATACACATTTTTCTGAACCATTTGAAAGTCATTTGCAGATATGACACTTTTATCTCTAAATACTTCAGCACAATACAATTATGAAACCCAGGGAATTTAACCATTACACAAGACTTTTATCTAATGTACAGTCCATATTCAAATTTCCCCCCAAATATCCCAGTATTCTCCTTTATAGATGTTTCGTTTTTGACCCAGGATCCATTCGAGGATCTCACATTGCATTTAGTTGCCATGTCTCTTTTAGTCTAGGACATTTGCTTAGCCTTCTTTTTAATTTCATGATATTTTTGAAGAGTTCAGGGTCAAGTTTCACCCCTGCCCCCTACTAGCAAATGCCCTTCAATTTGTATCTGATGGTTTCCTCATGATTAAACTCAGGTTAAATATTTTTTAGCAGGAATGTTACAACAGGGGATATTCCAGTGCTACCATCTGTAAATGTACTTTTTTTTTATTACTACATTTTATCCTTCTCTTTTCAATGTGTGAAGCCAGGAGAAATTTTTAAGAATTCTAATATTCTTATTTTCAAATATCCAGCAGGTCAATTATTGCTAAGTGACTCTTATCATCACCTCATGATTGAGGCAGTGGGCTATTTGTACAGGTCACTTGATTTAAGGGCAACCTACCTGGGAACTTCTCATTCATCAATCCGTGGAATCCTGAAGTGAGTTTGTTTCACGTCTCAAAAAGAAATATGCTTTTGGTTATTCACACTATATATATAACTTCTTGATAACTTTTGATCTTTCTCAGCCTTCTCAGGGAAATTGAGCGGATCCGCGGCAGGAGAGGTTGGTCTCAAGGCATGTACCAGCAATATTCCGAGGGTTCTAGGAATGGTGGCTCATTAAAGGAGAACTTGCTTAAATTAACTTACCACAGTGCTCAGGGTTCTCATACAGTGAGCTCTGCAATGTGCCTGAAATCAGATAAGCTACAGAAGACTAAAAGCATGAACTTGGCACCTCATCCAATTTTAGATAAATCAAAATGTGTTTCTGGAAAAGGGAAAAAGATCTTGAGACCCATTGCTTGCATTTCTGCTGAGGAGAAGACCAGACCAAATACACAAAATAATGTTGAACTATGGAATGGCCCAGAAAAAGAGAGAGCAAAGGAAAAGAAAGACTATACCTCTAAGATTCTAGCTTTGGGTAAAATGGATGGTGTAGTAAAGCTTTCAAGGCAAAGGGTTCTGTCAGCTACAAGTGAGAGTGGAAAAGGTCAAATCACCACAATTTACCAGTATCCACGGCTGGGGCTTCTTAGCACAAACAACCCACTGGATTCCATATCTGAGCTCATATCGGAAAAGTGGCTTTTTCACAGCCCACATTACAGTTTAACTCCTCAGAGGTGTTTTTTGCAGAGAAGATCTCAAGTTGAAACAAAACCGTAGAAGTCCATAAAGGATACCAATAAAGTATATAAAAATTATCACAGGCTCTTTGTGTCTAAGTTTTTTCTACATGTCTTTTTTTAGAAATTTTTCATTGGATATTTCTTCTAAAACACTTAGGAGTGATAATAGTCAAGGTCTGGGGATTTGATTTTTTAGCCCCTTAGAATATTGTAACTGATTTTAGCTAAAAAGAACAGTTTTTACATTATTCACATTGGTGTGGTAGGTAAAGCAACGTTGATCTTACAGGGTTCCACATCTAAAAATATATTGAAGCAATGTTATTAAAGTTCTAATTGTGTTACTTTTACATTGCTATAGTTTATCTATTTTGTATTTATGAATTAATTTTCTCTGTAAAAAAATTACAGTTGCTCACAGAAATTTATGAAACATGAACAGAAAAAAGATATAAATGGGAATAAACTAAAACCATAATGTAAGTTTAAAGTACCAGAGCCTGTGTATCTGATATCATATTTTCATTGTCTTTTATTACATCTGTGATTTGTAAGACATTAACCATTAACATTTAAGAATTACATATAGGCTACTTTCTTCCCTGTTCCCTAGCTAAATCCTACATACTATATTAGGACTCTAAATGGAAAAATGGGCTCAGCTATGTGACCATAGGAAAATTACTGATGCTCTCTTAGCCTCAGTTTCATTATCTGTAAAATGGGAGAAATAATGGGACAGACTTTTCATGATTACTGAGAGGACTGCATGAGATAATGGCACATAGCAAGTGCAACATAGCAAGTCTTCAATAAATAGTGATTGTCATTATCATCTGTCACACTCCAACACAGATACCACCTTTCTCCATGAAAATCTCCTGAATTCTCCAGCCCAGAATTTAACCCATAGCCACTGGTTTGATTCTGACTCATGAGGACCCCATGTGTTACAGAGTAGAACTGCTCCATAGGGTTTTCTTGGCTGTAATCTTACGGACTCAGGGCAATCCCATGTGCTCGCCATGAGTCGGAATCAACTTGATGGCAACAGGTTTTATTTTTTGGCTTAATCTTTGGGAGAAGATCTCCAGGCCTTTCTTCTGTGGTACTGCTGGGTAGGTTTGAACCACCAACCTTATAGGTAAGCAGTTGAGTGCAAACTGTTTGTGCCACCCAGGGAGCTTAGCCCACAACTTAAGCATATATTAATGCCTTGGGTTGTCTTAAATTGTGCCCCACTGTTTCACATATGGCAGTATAGTCTCCCAGGCTGAATGGACGCTTTGAAAGTTATTCCATACTCCACCCAGCCTCCACTCAGCCACCTGTACAAGAGTAACCACGGGGTACCCAGATACTACCTTGCAGTCCCGTTATTCTCAGCTGGGTTCTGGTGGCCTCTTAGGCTTTCCTGCAGGAGCTGAGTCTGATTCAGTTAGTCTACACAAAAATGCGTGTTGGTGGGCCTGCTTATTTGGTTTTGGTGGAACCACAGACACAGAACAGGTGCAGCCTAGCAGGTCTGAGAGAAGACTCTTGGACAGTGTCTGCAAGCGTGGGCAGGAGCGGGAAACTGGCGACGGAGGAGCTCCCTTGTGCCCAAACTTATTTGGGTCTTAAGGGCCTGGGACACTACAGCTGGCATCAGGAGTACACGATTCATTCATTCTTTGTTTAATGTCTGTCTTGCCCCCTGAATTTGAAGCTTCCTGAGGACTTGGCCATGTCCATTTTGCTCAGCCCCTGGTAGAAGTAGACAGCAAACTAGCGATAAGTGAATGAATCTTGCCCTCCCCTCCCCCGCCCAGTTTCCTTAACAGAAGGGATAGGAGGCCATGGGCGAGGGACATCTCTGTGCATTCAAGCAACCGCAGGGACCAGGGTAGGCCCCCAGATTTCATGCCCGGCCAAATGTGCGGCCTTGACCCAGTTGCCCCCGCATGGGCGGGACCGAATGGATCCAAGCTGGGGGTTGGGGAACTTTCCAGACTCGCCCCCGCGATCCAGGGAGGTCCAGACTGCAGAGAGGTCACCTCCCGGCGTCGCAGTCAGAGGGGACACGGTCGCAGATTGCGGGGAGGAGTGCGGCAGAGATCCGCTCACGTCGCCGAAATCGCGCTTCAGGGCCTAAGGCCGGCGACGAGTCATCCCAGTCCGTGTGGCCTCGGCCTCGCGCCACCGCACGATAGCAGCCTGCACCGCGCGGTCAGGAAGTGCCTGCAGCCAACTCCTGGCGGGGCCCTTGCCTCGCCCCGCCCAACCTCGCCGCTACCGCCCAGCCCTGCCCAATCCTGCCTCCGTGTCTCCAGCCCCGCCCGTCCCCGCCGCACAAGCCCGACCCTGTCCCCGCCACCGCGGCAGCCGAAGAGCTGAGCAGCGCCGCCCCGTGTTCCGACGCAGGGAGCCGCCCACCGGCCCGGCTGAGCCACCGGCAGCGAGGTGCCGGAGAGCATGGTCACGGCGGCGGTGGCGGCCCGTGGGGCCGGGGCTAGGGCGGTGGCGGCCCTGCGGGGCGGCTGCAGGAGGGCGGGCCGGGGGCGGCCACGCGCGGGCTTCGCACGGCCCTTGTGCACGGCACCCGGAACCGCTCCGGACTCGAAGCGCTACCTGTGGGAGCGCTACCAGGAGGCGAAGAGAAGAACGGATGGTGAGTGCTGCGGCGGCCCCGACACCCCGGCGACCCCTCCCCGGCCGGCTGGGGCGGCGGATCCCCTCCTTCACTGTCAGCGGGCAACTGGGCACCCTCGGACCCGGGCCGGCCCAGCTGCTGACCTCCAAGGCCCCCAATGGGGACCCGGTTCTCTCCACCCCAAGCTGCGGGCAGCATTGCCTCTGCAGAGCGACTCGGGAGACGCGGAAAAATGCGTCTCCAGAAGCTTTGCAACTCTTACCTTTCTCCTGTCGGGAAAGGTATTTCATAATTCTTTGAGATTTTTAGCAAGAAATCCGCATGGGAAGCGCTTTGGGGATTCCACAGACATCACTTTGGAGACAGTGACCCTCCACGCGCCGCTAGATACTGTTATTAATAGTAATAATACTGGTAACATAGCAGGAGTCAGGCGGGCGGCTATGGGTGGGGAGGGTTGGGTTTGTTGTGTTTGAAATAGAACGGGTCCAGGTTGGGAGTGTTCCGAATTACCTCTATAATCTCTGTGAGAAGGAGATTCCATGGAATGAATGCTTTTTGGCCAGGTGGACATTAAATAAGCTTGGATCGGTTGTTACTGAGGATAACGGGGAGAAATGGAAAGAGGAATTAGTATACTGGTGCGAGACACAATTATTTCCCTGAATTCGTCTGATAGTCGAGGAGGGAGGTACCACATCCTCGTTCTAGAGATGGGAAAGGCCAGACTCAAGTTTAAGGAACCTGGTAAAACTCGCTGACCTCTCCCCTGCATTGCACAGCCTGCTAGTCCAGCTGAACGACCGCTTGGAAGCTGGTGGCCAAGGCCAGCGGTGGTAATCTCTAGGTGCTGCTTTCAGGGAAGATTTACAGTTCAGATTTCTCGCATTGAGTTTTTTGGGATGGATGTGGCATGTAGACATAGGGACAGAATATTTGATGGGAGAGACATGTTGAAGGATGACATTTTTCATCTTTCGGCCAGAAGTCCGTTGTAGTGAAAGAAAGCAAAACGTTTATTTTCATCAATTGGAGTAATTTTTCTGAGGAAACTAAAAGTAGCTAGCGATGTAGAATTCTGTGGCATAGTGGCGTATTTTCTGAGTTTCCCTTTGCTAAGGGTTTAGTTTTGCATCGGTTATTGAAGTGGTTGTATGGTATAAGAGGAAGGACAATGGCTTTGGAAATATTTGGGATTGCAGATCTTAAAGAGATGAAAGAAATTTAGAAGAGCATCTAACCCAGTTTTCAGGCAGGCAATTTTTTTTTTAATTGAATTTTTTATTGAGAAAATTGTATATTTACTTGCAGTTGTAAGGAATAGTACAGAGAGATCGTTTATATACCCTTTACCCGGTCCCCCCCCCACCATGGTATCCTTTTGCAAAACAATAGTACAGTATCACAACCCGTGTACTGACTTTGATACAATGCACAGATTCTGTTCTGAGTTTTCCAGTTTTGCTTGTACTAGTGTGTTTGTGTGTGTGTGTGTATTTAGTTCTATACAATTTTATCACGTGTAGTTTCACATGTCCACCACCACCGTCAAGATACAGAACATTTCCATCACCTCAGTGATCCCCCATATTGTGCTTTTATAGCCACACCTACGTTCCTCCCGCTCCCTCTCTCCTTTGCCCCTCATCCTTGGCAACCCCTAATCTGATCTCCATTCCTAAAATTTGTTATTTCAAAAGTGTTATAGAAATATAACTTTTATATGTTATATAAATGTTAAATAGACAGCGTGTAAACTTTTGGATTTGGCTTTTTTTTCCTCCCCTGAGCATAATCCCCTGTAGATTTATACAATTTGTTGTGTGTTGCCATAGTCTGTTACTTTTTACTGCTGAGTAGTGTTCCATGGTTTGTGTGTACCATGGACATCTGAGTGGCTTCCAGTTTTGGGCTATTACAATTAAAGCTGCTGTAACTATTTGTGGACAGGTTTCATGTAAACGTGTTTTCACTTATCTGGGATAAATGCCCAGGAGTGCAGTCACTGGGTCATATGGTAATTGCATATTCAGTTTTATAAGATACTATAGGTAAGATTCTGATTTTATGGATGAGATTTGCCATCTGCAGGCTGTTTAAGACCCTGGGGATGCTGGTAGTACTGACATTATGAGGTTGTGGTGAGGAATGAGTTAATCCATGAAAAGTGTTGAGAACAGTGCCCGGCAGGTGAGACAGCTGAAGGGTTGGGTGATAAAGATCTGCATCTGACCAGAGTATGAGCTTTGGGGTATGAGAGCCCCGGGGGAATTTTGAGGTTTATTAGCTCTGTGACCTTGGCAGTGAGTGACTCTCTCTCTCAGCTCAGTTTCTGCAAGGTGGGGATAACCTGTGAGGATTTTTAGAGCAGGCTTGGTACCTAGCAGATGCAGAATAGATAGTAGCTATTGAGTAACTGTCAGCCTTAGGCACACACTTAGAAGAGGTGGAGGTGGATTTATTTAGGTATAGTGTCTAGGTCTCCTTTGCCTGAGGCAGTGCCACAACTAGTTGTGGGGCTTTGAACAAGTCATCTGATCTCTCTAGGCTTTGGTTTCTCCCTCTTTTAGGGCGAAGCCACTGGACTAAATAATGTCTCCCGAATAAGACAGATTAGGAAGACAGGCCTTCTGAAAATCAGGTAGTGGAAACCCTGTGGATCACAGTGGTCCGATCCACAACCAGTCACGGGGACGGTGCAGAACCAGAAACGTTTTGATCCTTCGTGCATGAGGTCTCTGTGAATCCGACCAACTTGTTGTGCCCCCTTCCTCTCACCCATGAGAACAGAAGGACTTTAATCTGACTTTCCTAGCAGCTGGTTCCTCCTTTGTTCCATCTGGGGCTGCAGCAGCCCTGTTGTTGTTGTTAGCTGCGGTTCACTTGGCCCCCAACTCACGGGGGCCCATGCGCGATGAGACTGGACCATTATGATCCGTAGGATTTTCATTGGCTGATTTGCAGCAGTAGATCACCAGGCCTTTCTTCCTAGTCTGTCTTAGTCTGAAAGCTCTGCTGAAACCTGTTCAGCATCATAGCAACATGCAAGCCTCTACTGGCACACGGATGGTGGTGGTGCGTGAAGTGCGTTGGCTGGGAATTGAGCCTGGGTCTCCTGCATGGAAGGTGAAAATTCTACCCTGAACCATCACTGCCCTCTGCATCACCCCTACCCTGTTTAACTGAAGTGTGTCTCGATGTATGTGTCCAATCTGAGTTCATTCCGCAAGCATTTATTGAGCACCTGGAAGTGGGCGTACAGGCTGTTGATTCACAGATAGGTGAGTCTGAGAAGGAGGGGCCCATGGTGGCCGAGCGCCTGTCCATGCCACATTGTACCAGTGTTGCATGTATGGGGAGACTGAAAAACAGGTAAGTGAAAGTCCAGCTTGGGGGAGATAAACAACAAGCCCAGGGACTCTGACATCAGAGAAGATAACTGCTCTGGGGAGGCAGGAAGAGCCCCGCCAAGCCTGACACTTAAGCTGTGACTTGTAGAAATGAGAGGTCAGAAGAAGAAACACTTATATTCTTATTTATATAAAAACATATCTATCTTTTCTCTCTCTTTTTTTTTCAGTTTACAAGAGGACAAAATTTTGTTTTCTTAACTTCCTCATTATTTCTGTTGCCCATTTGATCTCTTGCCTTAATGCAAACAGTTTGTTCAAGTATCTTCCCTTTAAAGGAGCTCACAGAATGAAGCCTGCACAGGCGAGAGAGGGTTTTTGTTCTTTATTCTACCCGTTCTCTCCTACCTTTTTTTTAAAAAAATTATTATTTGGTTTCATTTCATTATTTTATAAACTTTATTTTTTAGAACAGTTCCAGGTTTGTAGAAAAATTACAAAGTTAGTTTCTGTAACCCCCTGATACAATTTTCATTGTTACTGACCTCTTATATTACTGTGGTACATTTGTCACAATTAATGAATCAATATTGTTACATTGTTGTTAACTAAGGAGTCCCAGAGTGGTACAGTTAACGTGCTTGGCTGCTAGCCTAAAGGTTGGAGGTTTGAGCCCACCCAGAGGCTCCTTGGAAGAAAGGCCTGGTGATCTTGTTGTTCTTCTTGTTATTTGCCGTCGAGTCGATTCCAATTCATAGTGACCCTATAGGACAGAGTAGAACTGCCCCATATGGTTTCCTAAGCTGTAAATCTTTACAAAAGCAGATCGTCAGGTCTTTTCTCTCTAGGAGCCACTGATGGGTTTGAATGGCTCACCTTTTGGTTAGCAGCTCAGCGCTTAACCATTGTGTCACCAGGGCTCCTTCCTGGTGATCTATTTCCGAAAAAGCAGCATTTGGAAACTTTGCGGAGCATAGTTCTACTCTTACGCATATGAGGTTGCCATAAGTTGAAGTTGACTTAAAGGCAACTGGTTTAGTTTTTTTTTTTTTTAATTAACAAAGTCTGTATGGTGCAACAGTTAAGCGCTAACTGAAAGGTTGGCAGTTTGTACCTACCCAGCTGCTCCATGGGAGAAAGACCTGGTGATCTGCTCCCATAAAGATTACAGCAAAGAAAACCCTATGGAGCAGTTCTGCCCTGTTACATGGGGTCATTATAAGTTGAAATCGACTTGATGGCACTTAAAAAGAACAACAACATACTTTATTCAGAGTTCCTTATTTTTTTACCTAATGTTCCTTTTCTGTTCTAGGTTCCCATCCAGGATGCCACATTGCATTTAGTCATCCTGTCTGCTTAGACTCCTCTTGGCTATGACGGTTTTTCAGACTTTCCTTGTTTTTGATGGGCTTGGCAGTTTTTAGGGATATTGGCCACATATTTTGTAGACTGTCCCTACAGTTAGACACTGTAGTTTTCCCCTGGAAAAGTGTTCTCGGTGTGGGTGGAGGGTGATTTTTGTGTCCCAGGGAACAGCTGGCATTGTCTGGAGACATTTTTGAGCATCACAGCTAGGGAGGAGGGATTATTTTGGCATCTAGTGGCTAGAGGCCAGGGATGTTGCTAAACAGCCTACAGTGCACAGGACAGACTCTAAAACAAAGA